GGTGAGGGGGGGGGTTGCGGTGGGGGGATGCGGTGGGGGGGGATAGGAGACTGGGACTGTGCGTTGTCGGGCTGGGCGGTCGGCGGGAGGTGGGGGAAGACGAGGTGGGGGAGGTGAGGGAGGTGAGGGAGGTGGGAGCGGGGGGGGCGGCTGGCGACGGACCAGGGATGATGTGCGATCGAAAGGTGTTGTGTGTGTGGGGGGGTGTGGGTGTCGAGGGAGATACGCGTGCAGCACGCCTCGTCGGCGCACTCATGTCTCGTGTCTGAAGTTCCTGTGGCGGGCTTGCGTGTCTGAAACCCCGTTCCCCCGATCCGACGTCGGCAGTGGGCACTTGCTACTCGCGCTGTGGACTTCTGCCTCTATTATAATGCCCGCCTTCCTTTACCCCTTCTCCTGGACCTCACCCTCGCCCTCGCCCTCACCCTCAGCTGATTGCGGCGCTGGTGAGCCCGGAGTGTCCTTGGACCCACCATCATCCGGCTTCGGACCCCAGGCCCTCGCGACCCACGGGTCGCGAGCTCGCTGCGCTGGGCGGTGTACTCCACTTGGAGATGGCGCTGTGCCAGTACTTGTACGGCTACGTGGATGCCGGCCGGCAGTATCTCGTACGGGCAGGACAGATGCTGGGCTTGGAGCCGCAGCTAACGGGTAAGGGGGGGAGGGGAGGGTTTATGGGCCCTTATGAGGAAAGTACGATTGGGGGGTGGTGGGAGAGCTGCTGTTTGCACAACCATGAGGGCTGCCACCTCCTCGCCAACACCCCTCCCTCCACGCAGCATTGTTTCCTTGGCAGCAGCTTCACTCGTTCGTGGTTCGTCTTTTCCCGTTCCCTTTCTCCCCCCCCCCCAATCAATCAATCGTGTGTGGTTCGTCCTTCCCCCCCTAAGTGACCCCCCGAGGGTGTAGTGGAGGGGGAGACGGGGTGTATCACAGGCCTCTTAGCCCTCCTGCCCTTCCCCTTTCCCCCATCCCTGTATGTATGTATGTATGCCCTCAGGGGCCATGGGAAAGAGGACGGTGCACCAAATAGATCCAAAGGTACGATACGAGCTGGTTTGTTTGTTGGTTTGTTTGTTGGTTAGGCGGGTGCGCAGGGGGGGTGAGGCCCGGGAGGAAAGGGACGGTGGTGGTGGGTGGGTGGCGGTGGGGTGGGGCGG